ACACATCTCTTTGGCCAAGCATTCAAATAATGCATCTCATAATCTTGTACTGCAGTTATATCTGATCAAATGCACATTATTATTCTTTAGCTTGGGTTAAACAAATCAATTTTGCTTGGTTGGAACAGCAGCTACGGTAATTTGTCTCTATCTGTTTCTCTGTTTTTGCCACGTGATGGACATCATGTGGTAACTAGGATTTACACAAGCTTCAGTCTGGATCCAGAACACCTAAGAAGAGATGATGCCAACCCCTCAGAGGACCTCAGATGATGCCAACCCTGAAACAACATACAGAACTACCACATTTTGCTATAAGTTTGATTGCATCATATAATAATTGCTGTTAATAGTGTTCGTCTGTTTGATTACGTCTTTAATTGATTTTTCCGTACATTTCTGCCATATGTACATAAACTGACAGTCACCACTGATAAGCCACCACTAAATATTGTAGAAACGCAATTTTCTGTAAAGCTGCTTTGCAACGATTTGTATCGTAAAAAGCGCTATACAAATAAACTTGAATTGAATTGAGTTTAATATTTCATGTTACAGGCATATTACAGCTAATCGTGGTCAAGTCATTTCATGTACATTTTATTCCCAAAGTTTTCATAAAACATTAAATTAATAAAACTTATACAGCAACTGTAAAAACCGACATGTTTTGAATGCTTTAATTCTGCAATAAAACCAAAACAATAACAAGAATGTTTAACGATGCATAACAAGACTTTATGCCTCAAACATGTACAAAGTCAGTAGAAAACTATTCTAAAAATAAATGTACTTATAATGCATGATTTCAAAAATCTGTTGAAACTGTCAAAATGGATGGGTTGCAACATGACTATTTTGAAAGAGTTACAGTTCTAAATGAAACTTCTTGATTCATATTGCCTCATACTTGTGGTAGGGGATTAAGGAGGAATAGTCACGGGTTGTCTCAGCAATTATTTGTACATCATCAGCCACACAATTCTGAAATAAAAAGTATCTGCAGCATAAAACAAACTTAAATGAAATGTACATGGTCTTCAATGTGTGCATATTTTCACAAAAATCATCATAAGTTGAATGCGTACAAATAATTGCTGAGACAACCCGTGACTATTCCTCCTTCATCCCCTATCACAAGTATGAGGCAATATGAATCTAGAAGTTTAATTTGGAACTGTAACTCTTTCAAAATAGTCATGTTGCAACCCATGCATTTTGACAGTTTCAACAGATTTTTTAAATCATGCATTATAAGTACATTTATTTTTAGAATAGTTTCCTACTGACTTTGTACATGTTTGAGGCATAAAGTCTTGTTATGCATCGTTAACCGTTCTTGTTATTGTTTTGGTTTTATTGCAGAATTAAAGCATTCAAAACATGTCACATATATGGTCGGTTTTTGTTTTGTTTTCCCTGCGTTCCTGCCTCCTGTTTCTTTATGCCTATATTTGGTAGTTTCTTTTTCCTGTTTTATTAAGTTCCATTTGTCTCAGCTGTGTTTTATTAATTATCCTTGTTTGCTCCTCACCTGTTTCTGTTCTCCCTGATTACATTCCATGTGTTTATAAGCCCTGTGTTTTCCCTCAGTTCCCTTGTCCTGTCTAACGTCGTTTAAGTGGTTGTGTTCTCCTGATTTTCCTAAGTGGATTTATTAAAAGACTCTGTTTGTTTGATATCTGCCTCCTTCGTGCTTCTCACCCTAGCAACCCGTGACAACATGTCGGTTTTTACAGTTGCTGTATAAGTTTTATTAATTTCATGTTTAATGAAAACTTTGGGAATAAAAGGTACATGAAATAACTTGACCTTAGCTGTAATATGCCTGTAACGTGAAATATATGAATTGACAAATATGAAGGAGTACAAATGTAGTACAGCTAGATATGTTTTTTGCATAGTTCTGTGATTGGATTAATACCAGTTTGAAGCAGTGCTAGAATTTCTTCAGTAAAAGGGCATTCAACTTGAAAAATCTGTTACATCGAATGACTAGTATATTGTCCCATTTAGAGTCTTTATCTGTTCTCTTCAGTCTGTCTTTGTCTGACCAGCATAGATTCCACAACTGTTATTTTACAAAGCAAGTACAATGGAAAATTGTTGCTTCCTAACATGTTGTGATGTGAAAAGCCTCAAGATTGTCTTTGTCTGACCAGCATAGATTCCACAACTGTTATTTTACAAAGCAAGTACAATGGAAAATTGTTGCTTCCTAACATATTGTTGTGATGTGAAAAGCCTCAAGACTACAAATGCAAAACACAAAAATGAAACTATAAACCTTTACTAGGCTGTTAACTTAAATGATCAACTGCACACACCTTTGCTAAAGCATGACTTGAACAGTGGTCTCGTGTTGATGATGCAACATCCAGGTAGGCACACCCAGGGCGTATTTGGTGCTAGAACTAGTAGTAAAGAGGAAGGGATGATCTCGTTTACTCGCACTGCTGCCATCTGAACTGAGGCGCCTATACAGAGATCTAGATGTCTTATATTATAAAAATCTTAAGTATGAATTTAGAAAGAAAACTTACCCCTTTACTGTCTGCCATCATCCCATCCCGCTCTCTGTCGTTGCCCTCATCAACAGTCAGTCCGAAGACGAGTAGCCAATCAATACAGGATTTGGCCAGCAGCCAATAGCATTTGTTAACACAGCAAGCATGTTTGGGCGCCGCCCCCTGACTGTCAAAACAGTGTGTTCAGATCTGCGTGCATGTGCAGACATTACTTGCGCGTGTGGGATCTGCCAGGACTCGCAGTTTTGTTATTCGTCCTCGCAACGTGTTGATGCGTGTACACAATCGTTTTTTTTTTTGTGCTCGAGTTTGGAATTTGCCATTTCTTAAGGTTTACATTTTATGTGCGAGCTTTGTCACTCTGCACACAGTACTGTAATTCACTTGCGTGCTGTGTTAATACACTTACGCTGTTTTGTCCAACTTTTAACACCATACCCTACTAGGACACAGCTTTCGAAGCACTGTAATTTAAACAAGGTGCTTACATATAAACACACTAACTTGCTGTTAAGCACATTTGACTAAGTGCATCACAACCAAACTCCCTGGGCAAGTGAGTTTCTTAAAGTGACAGTTTATATTACAACATTTTCACACACATGCGTCCTAACACCATTTAATAAAATTTAATGGTTTCATTCATAGTTGCCAAGTCCACTTATAATACACAACTTTGGGCTTCTTTTTTTGTTAAGTTGCGTGAAAAAATCCCAGGTTGCCAGGTTTTTTGGGCTTATTTAAAAAAAAAAAAAGGTTGCTTGTTAGGAAAGTCTAGCAACTTCAAAAACAAGTAGGCCTATACCAATACTAACAGTATATATGTTTGGTTTGAATAGACTTTATTAGGCTATAAATATGTGGCAATGTTACAACTCCCCCTTAAAGCTCTTGTCTTTTTCTCCTGTTCCATCTCTCCAATCCTATTCTGCTCACATGTTGATTGGAGATGAGTAGATAGTGCGTACCTTTTCGCTTTGTTGCAGTTTGCTGATTTTTGTAAAATAACTTCTGTTTTTGCTTTTCAAATAAAAGAGTGGTTTCAGTTTAATATGTTGCAGGCTCATTTATTGGTAATAAATAACTGATCATAAATAATATTTATGATAATAATTAATCAAATAATATTGGGCTTGTTTATTTTTTTGTAGCTGCGGTTGCTTATTTGTCTTGTGAGAGTTGGCAACAGTGGTTTCATTGTTCAGGGTTACATCAGTTTTTGTAAGCTGTCTTGGTAATGTTTTACTCTAGTCTGATTGAAATAATATTCAAGAAAAAAATGCAAGCAAACTTAGCTAAGCATATTAAGTCAAAAGCCCCCAAAATCTAAAATAAATACTGTACGCTTACAGGACATTTAATATGGCTTTACAATGTAGTAGAATCAATATACAATGTTATCTAACAAATGGGTAATTTACATTACTTCAGAAAGCTTTTTGAATCAGCTGTAAATGTGTGTAATTCTTCGGTGTGTAATATTTGATCAACAGTCACTTTGTTATAGCCTAATCCACTTTGGCTAAAATGAATGCTGTATGAATAAACGCAAACATAAATGAAATCTGAAGGAGTTATATTTACCTCAATGTCAAGTGTCCTGGTCGGAACAGTGAAGTAATATGAACTCAAAGTTTGGTATCTTCGTTTTCTTCTTCTCGTTTTATGGGATGGCTGGGTATGTAGTAAAGAAAGAATTCAGAAAAGTTGCCAGATGTTTTCCGATATCACACGTTTCAGCACTCTAGGGTGTGGGTCAAAATTGTGGATTTATCTTGACAAACTTTGTCATTTTAACTTTCATCTACTGTAAATGGTGAATATACTATGAGAGAAATGTTTCTGCAAGAAGGCAAAGAAATCACGCAAAGTAAGTTCCTGATGTATACAGGATATGTGTGTGTGTGTGTGTGTGTG